CCTTGTTGTGAGATCCCATACAGCTGTCTATAACTTGTTCATTTATTATATAAGTGAATGTTCAAAACAGCATTTGTGTAGGAATCATTCTGTCCCAAGCACAGACCCAACCCTCAGTCTCATTCTTATTGTGGTGGATAACTAGTCAAACTGTGGGCAAGATGTATTTCCAGTGGAGCTTGTGTGCAATTCATCGAGTATTCACGAGTCGTACGTAGTTAAATTCATGACAGAGGTGGTAGCAGGATGCAGCCACTCATCTTTACATCCAGGATCGCCTGTCTGACATGCTCAGGTATGTTCAGGAACACTGTCTGGAAATTGAAAAGCTGGACAAGTCAAGAGAAAATTTAATTCCAACTTCCCAAAATAGCTCCTGGTGTACGCTAGAGAGCACATATTTTTTACGGTGTTTGTTGTTCCTTTGTCAGGGCACTGCAGCCATGGCCTCTGACAGTCAGAAGACATAAGATACAACAGTAAGTGTTCGTGTTTCAATATGCTCTGCTCACTAAAAGTCTATAAAAGGCAGTCTGCATAGCTAACAGTGAATCTACTGACCTATTACTGTGCACAGAGAATATTGATGAGATAGAACAGGGACAGCGGCTGTCCTCCCTCAGACGCCGCTGTTGAAGATAACCAATTGTGAAAAAGACTTCAGCTGAAAGATAAAGAAGAGCTCAGAATTTGGGGTGGGGCAAATCTGCCCCTTTCATCTGAGTATATCTTTATCAAGAATATGCTGGAGGAGAGGAGGAAGAGGGGATATTAGAAAGGCCAGACTGTAGAGAGGGCACCACATAATGTTTGTGCAAAGTGATTTGATCTCTGTATGAACGGGGTCAGGCTAATGCTCGTTCCATCTTATTGGGAGCGAGTGATGCCAGGCTGAGCTATCTGACAGAGAGCTTATGGAGGGAGAGGAGTTGTGCTATCTCCCTGTGTGTGTGTGTGTGTGTGTGTGTGTGTGTGTGTGTGTGTGTGTGTGTGTGTGTGTGTGTGTGTGAGTGATGCCAGGCTTACGCTGCCAGTCTCCGCCCCGTCACTGCGCGGGTGATGTCATATGTCTGTGTGTCTGTGTGTGTTTACAGCCTTGTGATTCATCGCTGGACAAAGAATGAAGCCACCGCCAGGGTGAGAGGAAGAGGGAACATTTAGAAAATAAATCTGCTGGGGAAATGAACAAATTCACCTAATTCTTCCCTTTTAACCCCCCTCATCTCTTGACTTGTCTTGGTATCTCCCATGCATGAGGACAGATGATTAGAATAATGTTTCGGCTACACCTACTTAACTTGACTGATGCTTGCCTTCTGCTCAGAAGCCTGTTCATCGATTACACAGGCAGCAAAGACAGGTCTTTGGGTTGATCGTTTTCTACCTTACAAATCATGTTTTACAAAGAATAACTGCCAATTATTGTATATTTGTCTTGTGACATCCAATGAAAAGGTCCAAACCAACAATGTGCCAAAACGTTCTGACTTTAGTCCCAAATATGGTTTCATTTAAAATAAAAAGCTCAGTCATTTCCTAAAACAGCTGAGCACTGTAGTTTTTAACAAAGGCTGTGTGCCACGGACAGGGTCGGAAAAATGGGAAAGTATTAAGAAATGGACGGAGGCACTGTTTAATGAGCAGTCAGAGCAGGTGTGGGTATTTTGGTGGTGAATCATAAGAACTGCAGCAACACTGCCTTGGCTTAGGCAGCTCTTGTAGCTTGTGTTTCTTTTTCTCTCTTTCACTTGCTCCTTCTTATGTCTTGCATCTTTTCCTCTTCTCTCCATCGTTCCTCCTGAGGCTGCTGTGTGTCGGAAATGGCACGTTGGCTTCCACGTGAAGGCTTTTCTGTTTGCTGGGCTGCCTGCCTGCCTGCCTGGCATCCTCTCTGTGACCCACGTCTGCGTGGCCTCAGTAGCAGTCTCGTCATCCATCCTCCCTCCCTTCCTCTATCTCCATTTCTCTCTTTATGCCACAATAACACTCGTTGTCTGGATCACACACTCTGGCCTGGCCATGAGGGGTGAGAGACAGAGAGACATTAAGATTGAGAAGGAGAGAATGGTGGAGTTTAAAGGCTGCTGCTATTCATTCACTTAGCTTCGATTGATAAAAGAGCGTTTGCCTATATAACTGAGGAACCACAGTGCATTTCTGTGAGGCAATTACTTGAACAATTTCCTTGAGGAAAGCCAATAGCTAACCGCTTATACGCCATGCTATTCAATTATGTAAGAAGACAGAGAGCTTTCCTCTCTGCTGCTTTTCTGCTCTGCGGAATTAGAAACACGCTGTCTTGTTATTTTAGATTTGTAAAGGTCTGTACAGTCAGATTCAAGAGAATAATGTCAGCGTTCAGGGCTTGCAATTCGCTATTAATAAACTAAATGTATTTTTCGAAACTGCTTCCACATTGACTTCTTGTCATTTTGGCTTCTATATTTTAGTATAATAATTAAAAACTAGGACAAACTTGCACTCATGGCGCCACACCCTGACCTACCCAGTTGACATCACGCATATGCCCCTTGTCCTCATTGCAGCCAAAGCCTTCACATCAATTCTTCACCATCCCTCGTGCTCTATAAAAGCATGACTGCAGACAATGCAACAAGGCCCCAATCTTCTCTCAGTTACCCTAGCAACAAGTTACGTAGACGCTGTCTGGGCGAAGGAGCTGCCTCAGAGGAGAGCAGGCTGCCGGAGAATGGAGGCGAGGACTAACAGGGATATTTCAGCAAAAACAATAAGTCTCAAACAGATTACACATTTCTGTTTTGCTTGAATAAATGGCCAATATTAGTACATAGATGTACCACATGCAGTAGAGCCATTGCTATGTTTTTTTAAAATATATTATGTTTCTGTTGCATCATTTTCAAAGCCACAGCATCAGCTAGCATAATGCCTCACACACAAGTGCTTTACTGTGGCTGCGTCTGCAGAGAAACAAAGAGCCCTTGGGTGTATGCGTGCATGGTCTCATCTCCTGTCAGCGGGGCTGCTGGGACGCTGCCAGACAGTCTGCATGATCACAAAGGTTCACTCATTGCTTCCAAACACATTGTGTGTGTACACACACATATACCATTCATCATCAACCTCCACAGGTTAGGAGCAGCATTTCAGTGAATTAAACCAAAACTAGTTCAAATTGTGTCAGTTTTTGTCAAATCACTCCGCACTACCGCACGAGCATCGAGACAACGCTGGGTGTGTCCAAGTCAAACTCCTGACTGGGTTTACGCCGAAACATTTGTGCATGAATGTGAAACAAGAACCTCCAAATCATGATTTTAATCACCATGTTTATGTAACGTAAGGTAATTCATATGAATATTGTTGTAAAAAATGAATTTAAGCCATTTTCTTTGTACCAGACATAACAAAGAAATTCTCTCATTGGTCTGGAAGCGTGATGTGGGGTGAATGATAATTTGGTGAATGTCTCCATCTGCTGCACACCCACTGGAACTGCTGCATTATGTAACAGGAGTGCGATAACATGGCTATTATGAAAAGGAACAGAAAGAGAGCATGTCTTGCCTTGTGCTCCCTTCAAGTGCTCCTTAATAAGCACTCTTACTTAACACTTCAGAAGATTTAAAAAAAAAAAAAATCTGTGCCATTCATTAGGGATGGTGGCTGTAATGACATGGAACAGAGATGTTAGAAGAATAAGTAGAAAAGTAGATTTGTTTTGTTATTTACTTTGACAAAAGCTTAATACATAACCTCCAGCTATTACCTAACCACAATAAGCTACATTGTGATAATCACAAAAAAACAATAAAATACCATCATAATCATTTTACATTCTCATCACTATTACAAAGAGCGAACTAAAATGTTCCCTAATGTGTTCCACCGATAATTTAACCCTTAACATTATCGGACTCAATATTTTTTCCTTTTTTTTTTTATATCAAAATGAATGCAGCAGAACCAGATATATCTTCTTTTTTATTATTCCACTCATCCTACTTCCTCTTCGCCTACATTACCCACAATGCAACTGGGCAGCCAGCAGGTATTCTTCTTTCTATCTCCACACCTCCAGATTGTTTTCATTGTCAAACTTGTAGTCTTCGGCCCCAACTGATGTTGACTCAAGTGACATCACTTAAAGCAATTTGTCAGACTTCACACGGCTCCTTCTGGAGACACAAAAGGCTTTATACAACTTATTCCCTCGTATGCAGCAGTACTCCCAACACCTGTAAACAGACTTTGATGTGTATAATCAGCTGAGTGCTTGACATACAGAATTTTACAACAAAAATAGTTTTTTTGCAGTTGTTGATTCATAAGCTACTGGTCCATGTAGACAAAATGTCTGGTAGTAGCTCTGTGCCTTGTGCTAACTGCTCATATTAGCATGTTAACATGCTTACTGTGACCATCCTAACATGCTGATATTTAGCGGCTAACGTTTACCATGGGGATCTTTGTTTTTAGCATGTTATTAGGTGTTGGCAATGACAATAGTTTAGCAGGTATTTAGTGAGCCAAAGCATTGGACACACTTTAAACTGCGGTGTACTAGATGCAAATCAGGGGATCAACAGTGTCAGTGAGCTTTATCCTTTGGGGAACATTTTAATACCTGTACAAATGTCCATGGCAATCCATTCAAATGCTGCTGAGCTAATTCAGTCTGGACCAAGGTGGCAAACTGACCAACTGACCTCCACACAGAGCCCTGATGCTAGTGTGGCTAAAAAAATGTACATATCATCCTAATTGCATTCAAGATATCGTATGTATATGCCAATATGTAAAGACCAAGCACCGGGACTGAGGGCCTTGCGTAGAAATGAAACTATCCAACACACAGTTGTATATGTAAAGCTTGTGGTTTTAATATGGCAATTTTCACCACCAGATAGAATCAACACATGGGATTCAATCCAGCTAAGTAAAATATATGCACCACTTAGAGATCAGGACACTACAAAATACACCTCTGAGTCATTGACCCCCCCCCCCCCCCCTCCACCAAAAAAGTGTTGATCATACAGCTTGTGCAGACCATGAACACACGAAGTACAGCATCAGAAACAGAGGCTGGGCAGCAGCGCACCAGGCTTTCCTTGTTGCATTTGTGAAACACATCCACATAAAGACACAGCCACCGGCAAAACATCTTCAAATAGAGACAATTACAGAACAGCATTTCCTACATGAGTACAGTGTGATAATCATACGAGCAGCATGTATGACACACACACACACACGCACATGGGTTATATTACAATACAATATATATATAGAGTAGCAGTGAGTGGATAGCTGCTTCTCGCGCTCAGTCTTGCATCCTATTCACAGCTTTATGTGTTGATGAGTGTGAACAGACTCGTCTCCGTGCAGAGAGGCAGAAGGCGAGCTTGCTGCCATTTTCGGTGCTCGAAACACACTGTGGCGGTAGTGTAGTGTTGCTTGATGCTTGCTCCGGTGCCCGGTCGGCGGGCATATGCTGCCGCTGCAATAAGCGTGCGAGGAGCCCAAGAAGCCCTGCCGAAGTTTACGCAAAACTGAAAACGCTTTTCCTGAAAAAAGTGTTGGATCTACAGATGCAAAGTCTGCAGAATGTTAGAAAAGTTGCTTTGTCTTTCATTTACAGTTCGAGCAGTAAAGACGAGTTATGATACCTCCTATTAAAACTGAGGAAATATCAGTAGCCCAAAATAGTAGATAACAGTACGTCACAGAGAAAGAACACAACACACGTTTGGGGTTGTGAGCTGCCACTAGGCACATTTTCAGAGGTTTGGAAAGTGAAGAGACTTTTAGAAGCAGCCTGGAGCAAAAACCAAAAATTAAATCTCTGACTTTTCCCGGTATTATAATGAAGCAGCGTGTTCATTGCTGGCAGTGGGACACTATTCTCTGAAGGAATGTCAAAAGATGTGGACGGTTCTTCAACCTTATCGCCTCTCACCATATGGACGCCTTAAGAAATGGATCCAATCCCTGTTCGCTGTCACCAGGATCAAAACAGTCTGCGATTAGGGGTAAAAACTGTACATTTACAATGTAGATACACTGTGCAACAGCCTCCGGTTTGACAAACATACACAGTAGACCAAACACAATTAGTGTAATAGCAGGAGACAACACAAAGAGTTTTCAATTTTCTTAAATCTACTGTTTACTTATGTGACATTTGATTTTGCTGGATTAAAATGCTTCGAGCCACGACAGGCCGCTATCAAATTCCCTCCTACTATAGTCAATGTTTAATAACACACATCACTACAAAACAAAAATCAACAGGAAATGGAACACATTACAGTTTGACTAGTGAGTTCCTGTTTTTCTTTAGTTCTAAATAAATCATACAAAAATAGTGTACAGTGTACAATCTGTCATGGTCCCTTTGAATTTCAGCGTAGTGTCCGCGGTGAGTATGTAACTCACCTAAACACACACACACACACTCACTGCTTCAGAACTAAGTGACGTCTGACTCTTGTCAGATAGTGCTGCTGAGTGCCTGGATCCAGTCGCTGGGGAGTCGGTTCGTCAACTCTCCCTCCGTGGTTCAGCTGCTTCGCAAACAGACTGACTCTCCACAGATAATCACTCACTCTCCAAACACGTCGCCCCCTCGAACTCGTTCCTCGTGCTGTCTCTCAGGTTATCTTTGCATGTCTCCGGGGAGGTAAATAAAACGAGCCCCTACGATCCCTCCTTCCCCTCTGAGGTCTCCGGCGGCGCTGGAGGCCCCTCTGCCGCGGGTGACTGGGCCCCTCCCGGACCATCTGCACAAACCCGAAAAGACACAATAAGAAATATGTTGCAGTGACTCTCAAGGGCAAAACGAAAAACGTAGACTGTCCAAAGCTATTGTAGATCAATGACTTCATGATTATTACATCACTAGCAGCATTTTTTGCTTTTGAATCATTTTATGGCACCTGGTGTGTGAAAGAAACTTTAAAGAAACATAGGATTTAGGATCATTTAAATGGAATATAATATTAATTTCTACGTTTTCATTAGTGTAACTTAGAATAGTTGTGTTTTTCGATACCTTCGTCGTTTATATCTACATAGGGAGCGGGTTCTCTTTACAGAGTTCGCCATGTTGCACCGCCATGTTTCTACAGTAGCCCAGAACGGACAAAAACAAGCACTGGCTCCAGAGAGGGCCTTTCACGTTTTTTGCATTACCCGAAGGCCACTGTAGTTCTTTGGCATACTAAGGTAGGGCAGAGCGGAGGCCACTAAATCCTCCACACTGCTCCTGTAAAAAGTGTTTCTTACACATCTGGGACTAATTTGAAGCTATAGGGGTAAAATGAGCTCCAGCATCATGGGGAAGCAATGCTTAGCTGAGCTAGTTAGTAGCCACTTACGAACACACAAAGCATTTAATTCTTTGAGAGTGCACAGAGATTGTAAGGATAGAAGCCAGACTTGTTCTTAATTAACTTTTGGAGCATGCAAGACAAATTGTATCATTATATGTGATTTAGCAGCATGCACATTTCCTTGCTATTAATGCAGTCAAAAATACTCAGCCCAACAGTGCTCTAAATTTGGCACGCCTGGTCGTGATGAATGACTTAGGAGGATTTCTTGGCATGGAATTGGCCAGTTATAGCCAATTCTCAAGTGGCAATCTGAGCAGAAAGATGTCCAGAATGTGTCTTACAGGAGTCTCAAAACCTAAGTCTTCAGTCACAAATCTTTCCCGTATCTGGCAGCTATATGGACCACAGTATTTCCCGGGTGTTTCCCTTTTCTTTGTCTTAAAAAATTATACATCTCAAACACCAGACATGGACCGTTCGACCAAAATTCATGTCAGGCAACTTTTCCCAGACTAAGTTATTTAGAAACTAGCTAGATTGATAGAAGACTGGCTGTGCGTGATATCAGGACTTGAACTACAAAGTTGATTACAGTTTGAATCTGCCTTGTGCTCACTATTATAATGAAAAAGAGAACATTGTGCACTTTACCTGTGAGGTTCATTTCAGCCAGCTTAAGAGGCAGGTCGCCAGGGTTTACGCCTGCCGGTGAGCCCAGGATGTCAGGCAGGGCATTTCTCCTCCCCGAGCGCCCCGAGGAGGCAAAGTCCAACACTGGCTCTACTTCCGTCATCTCAAGACCCCTCTATGATAAAAAGAGGGACAGAGTACACCGTTACGTTTTTGCCCTACACATGAAAACAGAAAGAAAGAGTACTATTTGTTTAGCTTAACATTTGTGCAACAGGAAGGACTCAAATAACCCCCTGGTTTGTGACCACATTAAAGCTTGTGTTATTTAATTTATTTCACAATATATTCAGTATATCTTTCCGTGCTAACATGCGATGGAAACTACTTATTTCAATGTAAAGTTATCCGTAATTTGCCTGTATGTTAGCCCTTCTCTGCCTCTGATTGGCTAGTACTTATTGCCTTCGTCGGTCGGGTTGGTTAGGTTTAGGCACGAGGAGTGAGATTAGGTTTAAGAATATCGGGGAAAGCCAATCAGAGGCAGAGTAGGGCGGGTCATGCCTTTGCCATCCTGGGAAGAAAAACATATTTTATGCTGAACGTGACTAATAGCAAAAGAAACATTACTGTTGTAGTCTTGAAGGAGTCTCACACAGTGACACATTCGGCTCAGTCGGATAACAAGCTGCAGGTATGTTGCGTAAGAAGGAAGAGTTATAAAAGCCTTTTGATTACAGAACTGTCAGAGGTCAAGGGCTGTTTACAGAGCGGGTGCAAAGATGCTGACTAGAGAAGAGGACAAAGGGAATATCTTTTCGTTTTTTAAACCGTGAACATGCGACAGCTCCTGAATTAAATAAGCGCTCATAAATGTTGCTATCTGTCTTTATCAGAGTCTTTGACTCATCACCATCAATATGTTTTTTGGGGCTTTCTTCCTATTGCCATGCAAGGGAAAACCCACGTGTAGTCAAGTAACTAACATGCGATGGTACAACATCAGGTTAACTTGGTGTCAGCTAATACAACATCATTGGATGGCTTAAATGATGTAGTTAACCTATAATTATCCCTCCAAACCTGTGTTTACCCTGATCATGTGAATTACATTTCAATGGCACAACTGATCAGTTACATTTTGAGTTGTACAGAGCAAGGCAGTGGCCATTTATCTGAGAAAAAAACAACATGTACGTTATCTGTTTAGTGATTTGAGCGTCAAGAGAAAAGATTGATCCCTGAAGCGGAGGATGTGTCTGTCTGGTCTCATGGCAACCAGCAGCTGGGGAGGCAGCTCTTGGCTACACTGGTGACAGGCAGAATTACATCCCTTGTCATAGACACACACACACACAAATACAGCGAGCCACTGTTGCTATGGCAACACTACAGAAAAAGCACCGCTGGCAGGTAAACACATGACTCAAATCCATTCTCTCACTATCTCACTTTCTCCTCTCCCAGTGTCCCTCTTGTGTTGTGTTGCCTCGCTTTAAATAACCAGACCATTCTGTGGAGCAAAATCCCATTTCCCCATCCCTCTCCCTCAACACAAAGGAATGACATGCGAGCTAATGCGCACTCGCAGCTATAAACTCACACACATGCACAATCTAGATCTCCAGAAAAAAGGGCCACAGGTTGGCCATCTGTTAGCCTCAAGCGCAATTGTAGCACAGCCATTGAGCTCACAGAAGCCACAGTAGTGGGTTGTGGCCTATATTTTCAAAAATAATTCCATGAGTATAAACATATTTCCTCTAAAACTTTCACATAATCCCATGTTGACCACTAAGCCTCTGCACATAGAGGGAGGAATGGGGAAGGGAATGTAAACACAATGAAATTGTAGCCTTTGCGTGGCTTCGCTTGATTAAAAGGTGACACATGAAGCATTTGTGAACCGCAACATGTAATCATCAAATGAATTGTGCTACCTGCAATTACCTTAAATGATTGATAGCCTTCATTTAACAGCAGAAATAATGTTTATGTTTTTAAATCTGTATACGTCCACCGTCCCCCCACAGCATCTTTGGCTTTACTGTACAGGATAAACATACAGTAAGATATTAATAATGAATGCAGTAAGGACTAATTCATGTAAAATGCTATTGCACATTTAATGTTGTGCCCTGTCAAACACCCTTATAATAGTCCAATTAAGGCCACAGCCAGGATTTAAATGCTGAGGTCATGAGTCTTCCCAACGCTTTTAGAATATTTTTTTATAATTTGTTATATATATACACACACATATACATATATATATATATATATATATATATATATATATATATATA